GAGGAGATTTTGAAACTCTTTGTAACAGACTTTGCTGCAATTATGGCAATGAATTTGTCAGCTATAACATACATTCCTTGATCCACTAGCTCAAGATGCACGTAAATTCGGCCCGTTGGATAGTGTTTCAGCTTTTCCTTTGAGACATTTTTAGGTAAACTGAAAAAACTTGTCCGTCGGCCTCAAACCCTGTCCAACAACTCGTCAGGCGAATCCAGAGAAGAAAGTGGCAAGCCAAAAGACCACATCAGTTTTCAGCCCACTCAAACAGCTCACTTTTCTGGACCAATGATTAATTCAGTTGCAACATGGGAACAATACAGGCGTTACAATGATGGACAGACACTGATCTCCTCCTCTCGTGGCGATGACTGTTTTTCTGTAGGGAGAAGGATTCTTATTGTGCGGAACATTTTGTCACATTCTGGAACTGTTAAAGTCCTGTGTAATTTCTTTGAAACTGCCAAATCCTTTTTCACCTATCCAATGGACTCATCGCGTCTTGGAATTCTTTTTGTTTGTAATTTATCTGAAGACTTGCAGCTGTTACCTGTGGAGGAGTTAAAAACAAAAATGGTGTTATTACCACACAAGACTGGATACGTGGCACTTCCACTCCTGCACTAAAGTGCTAATTATTTGTTTCATTTGTTTAAATTTTTTTGTATGTATTTGTTTTTCTTTAAGCATGTTACCTTTCGGGATAGTTGAATTTATAAATGGTGGGGGATTGGCAGTTATACCAACCAAATGGTTTGTCGGGCCTGAGGAGGATGAATGCTACTGGCCACCAACAAGGATGAACATGGCAAAGGCGGTCATGGAGCAACAGGACCCTCACACTGACTGGGCGACATACAAGTTGACTGTCAAGAGAAAAGTTGGTAATGTGTCTATTTGTATGAGATTATTTGACATGTTGAGTTCACTGTTGGTTCGGTTGAAATTAGCTCTGAATTAAACTAATTGCCACTCATTTGTCTGTCTCCAAAGCTACGTATGAAATTGCCCGCAGAAAATTAGTGGAGTATGAGCAAAACACTGATGTACCAACCGAGTCTGATTCTACAGTGAAGACTGGAAGGGGGAAGCGCAAAAAGAGGTGAGGCTATTGATTTTGAACTACTGCTTCTAAATGGATGATGAACATTTTATTTTCCCAATGACACAGGAAGGTAAAGTTTTGTTAAGTGTACTTGGCTCAAAGCTGTCTAAACATGGTAGGTGGACAGCAGATACACAATTAACCAAAAAAAAAATGCTTTAGCTCATTGATTGGGCTTGTATATTATACATTTCTAGGCGAGTGATTTTGTCTAGTGAGGATGAGGATGATGACAATTGGTCCGGCAGCCAAATCAGGCCTACACCTCCATCCACCCTCAGGTAATCACCTCCACACTGTTAAATGTTTTACCATTTTAGTGATGAGTTTCCTCAGGTTGGATGGTTAGATTCTTGGCTTTTTTGTGTAAGTTTGTGGTCTTTGAACAGTGTTTAACAAAACACATATTTTTTTTGCTTAGAAAGAAAGAAACCAAGATGATCATTAACAACTAGAATAAATCACTAATCTTATTCCTGGACAGAAGTGATTAGAAGATCTGGACCTGTTTATTCTTATTATAATTGTTTCCAGCAGACACAAAACGTTGAATTGGCTCAACTACAATAGATTTGTTACAGAATACTGGCACATCTCCAGAAAACAAATAAGTTGACTCAACTAAACTTTTTTTTTTTTGTATTACAGACAACATATTTTTCAGTTCGTAATGTTATTCATAAAAGTTGAATCAAAAAGAAAAAGCTAGGGGAAATTAGTACTACTATTTGTTTTTGTTATTGCACAAGATTTTTACAGTGTGAATTTTTGTACGGTGTAGATCTGTGCTGACACCTCCACTGCCTCCATCCACACTCGGATCTTCACCTCCACTGCCTCCAACCAGATCTTCACCTCCACTGCCTCCAACCAGATCTTCACCTCCACTGCCTCCAACCAGATCTTCACCTCCACTGCCTCCATCGACACCCCGATCTTCACTTCCACTGCCTCCATCTGCTAGGCCGACACCTCCACCACCTCCGGGTACCCTTAGATGGCCAGTGTTTCAACCCATTACCATGTCACCAGAAACCCCTCAAAGACAAATCAGGGACAACATGTTTGTTCGCATCTTAACACTGCTTGAGGAGATGAAAGAGACACAAAAAATCCAGGGGAGGATACTACAAACGCTGCTACAACAGCGTGGCAACATTAGCACCACCGTCTCTTCTATCCCAGAGGGTTTCCCCCTAAAGACAGTTAGGGATGTGGAAATCGTGGAAGAAAAACTGGCAAACCCGAACTTCATGTCCGAACTGGTATGTTTGTTAAGTCTAGGGTAATTTTATTGGGGGCTTGCAGTGAATTTGATCTGAAATTATGTTTTATTAACAAAGTTCGGGAGAAGCACGTTCAGATAATTAACACGGGTGGAGAGCACACAGCAATCATGATTAAAACGTGTATATATAGACTCAGCAGTCATTGTATGTAAGTTTGAACTAGTAAAACTTCTCTGTTGTGTACATTCCAGGGTTGGAACAGTATACAAAAATCACGGTTCGGTACAATGGAGGAAAAAGCAAAACAAAAATTTACAAGGCATTGTTTTTTTATTTAGCATAGCTATCTGATTTATCAAAACGATTCCATTTACACCTGGTCACAAAAATGTGTTTTTGGAAAACGGATATAAATCCGATCTTCAATTCCCGCGCTATATGCAGATTTAATGGAGTGCATGTCACAGAAAGCAACAAATATTGCTGCATTTTATTGTTCATCAGCTAATTTCAAAATCAAAGGCAATAAGAGAGCGCGGCAGCAGTCCTGGTAAGATCATTTTGTTTTGTTTTCTTTTAATGAAGATGGATGTGTTAAGCATCTGTGACTTACTTTCACTTTGATTTGCGATAGTTTATGGCGCATTGCTGATGAATAGACGCTCAACTGCACATCTGAGGTGATGCGTGTCGCAGCGTCATCATATCTGACTATATCGTGACATATAGCCTATATAACACGCTCTCACATGTTTTTTTTTTTAGCATTTTTGGGAGGAGTAAAATTTACATATGTGGTTTCAACAACCAGATGCACTTAGACTTGTCCAGTTTCATCTGGAATGCGGCCCAGACCACCTCCTGAAGTGATTAGAGTGATCGGATTCAAATCTCGAGTCTCGAATGCGTTTCGGAGGGCATTTACACCTGGTCTTTACACGATCGGATGGCTATCCGATCACAGAAAATGCAAGTGGCCAGGTGTAAACAGCCCCCTAGTTTTGTTTATTTTTATACCGTGTATTTATTCATGCACCGTACCGTTTCGGTTCAGTATGAATGCATGTACTGTTCCACCCCTAGCTCACACCCATGCTTCTGGCAGCTCTTTCATGTTGAGTGGTTTACTCCATTAAGCAATATACTGTAGATAAATTTTCTTTGTATTGCCTTTGTTCCCCCTCAGGTTGCAGCTGTGACTGACATAGGGGGGGCGACTGTTGACGAGGCCACAAAAAGGATGATGACCTTCCTCCTAGACCATGGCCTATCCAGGCAGTATAACTTTGTGGGCCGAAATGGGAAGAGAGAGTTCAAGGCCTTAAAACTGTATGAAGTAATATATGGTAGGTGTGCATGTGGATAATGTGTCAAGTTGTATTAATAATATAGTGTCACGAAACCCTAACATTATAAACATGTCAATTTTTTTAAGTTTGTGAATGGAGCATGTGTTGTCCTGGCTGAGAATTGTGTTCTCACATTTCTCTCAGTTGCTTAGCTTGTGTATTATTAGAAATACACACATTCTCTTGAACAATCTTAGTTTATATAGCTCTTTTCTAAACATAGTTGTCTTTACAGTCCTGGCTAGTTATGTTGCCACATATTAAGTAACTGAGCGTTATATTTGTTTCTTGAAGGAGGCTTAAAGAAAAACGCCATGACCAGCCAAATCACCCGTAAAGATGCAGAGAAGGCGGTCTCCAAGTGGCTCATCGGTGCTAGAGACCGGGGGGGTAATAGACAGGCCCGACAAGCAACCCCTCAACAAAGACTTCAGGCTTGAGAGTGAGGGCAAAAGCATGTTAATTTTACTTAAATAAAAATGAAATTTTATTACTGGTCTCTTTGTTATTGTAGTTTGTTTAACCCAAGGTGTTCGGGTCTGTGGGACCCGTTTTCAATGTTTGCTAAAAGAAAAAGTAACGCGATTTATTAATTCTTCTAACTCAAACTTATTGGCCATGGCTTATTTTCTGTGAAGAACATAAAAAATAACTTATTTTCAATGACTGCACATGGGACACCCTCCTACACAACTATTACAAATGAGATGTTCAGGTCTACTGAACCCAAGTGTAATATTTGTTGGTGCTATGAAAGTGTGTCCTCCTCATTACTGGGCCTGCTGTGTGTGCAAATGTTCTTTCTGCACCTGCTATTACCACACAAAAAAAGAACTTTCACCTGTTCTGATTAAGTTGTAAGAAATGAGCAACAATAATGATAAAATCTTGTTTTTATTTTTTTTAAATTATTCTTATCTCAGAGGGGTAAATGGCGAATACGAACCATAAATTATGTATACCATTGGTAAAATTGAGCTCAAGTAAACATCTGTTAAATAGTTTTACATAAATTGTTAAGGCTGTATTGATTTAAGTCTAATAATGTGGTGAGTCCACCAGACCCAATAATATCTAATTTGGGCTGACTGTAACCCAAAAGGGTTGACCCTAACTGTATGGGCTGACTGTAAAATAAGCCCCGAAATGAATTTGATAGCCCATAATAATAGTGGTTATTAATGGTAAGCAGGGACCCATAATCAGCCCACATGGGGCCCAGCTAGTGTGGGCCCCAGATGGGAGAAACCTGGGTTGCCCATGTGGGTTTTAGCTAGGGCCCATGTGAAGCCCACCTTCAGCCCATATGGGCCTGCCCACATGGGGCCACCATGGAACCCCCGGACAAAATTAGCTGGGCCCCATCTGGGCAGCCCAAATGGGGCCCACTCACCAGCCCATATCCAACCCTTATGGGCCCCACATGGGTGTGTTGACAGGGAAATAACTTTACTCATGTGATTCACTTATCACTGTAAATAAATGACCTAGTTTGTTTAGAGTCAATGTGTGTAAATGCTTTTTTGATGGATTCGGAGACTTACACAGCAGATATTTCTCTCTCTGTGCGTACTGATTGGCCCTCCACTTATCACTGAAGTCTTCTGGAAAGCCGGATTCCATCCTTAGCTTTTTAGATGGCGGCAGACCATCCAGCGAAACCGGAAATCTTTCCAAGAATGAGACAAAGTCTCTCCGAGATCCTCCAGCAGCTTCACTCGTAGCCAATGATGTCTCAGACTCGCTGTTTAAGTGAGAAATACAAGGTTTATAACACGAAAAAAAAAATGAATGAAAACTTGATAATCTGCAGTGCAAATAGTTTGTGATGAGTTATGTCCTGGTTGGACGAAGAGACATACCTGGCCAATGATTCCAGTAGCAGAGCTGCATCCACAACATCCTGAGGATTGACAAAACCAGAGCTGGGGGCCATGTAATTGAGAAGTGCCCCCTTTTGTTGCGCTGGGAGGTCTTTGGCAGCCGCCTCAACTGCCCTCCGCACACACTGGCTGGTGAAAGGGGCCATCTCATACCTGAAGAAAGACAATGAAAAACGAAATATTAATTGTGGTGTGATACTGACAAAATGTGGATCCATTTACACACATGCACATGAATCTGTGTAGGTACTCACAATTCATGGAGCCGGTCAATGTCGCGTGAGACACACTGGACTGCCTCGCCGTAGAAACGAAAAAACTTTTGCAGTATTTTTGAGGCTGTAGATTATCAGGCCTGATCTTACAAAAGTACAGCTCCAAGAACTACAAAAACAAAAAAACAAGTTAATAAATGAAAAACACTGGTGATGAGAAATCTACTGTTTGCATCATGTGAAAACTTACAGCTTGCTCCTCTTTAGTGATAGCGATCTGCATTTTTGAGGCTTTATCCCCCTGTAGGGCAACCACAACCCTTTCACCCAGCACGGTTCTGTTGACCCACTCTTCGTCCTGGAAAACATTGAAAATGTTAGACTTACTAATGCATACTTGTGCAAATAATACAGTATATCACAAGTATAAACTCATTAAAATAGATGAACTTACCATTAAGGCTTCCACAGCTCGTGGACACTGCGCGTGTCTGAAGACCAATATCGCTTCACAGTAATAACTTGGTTTGGGAGCTGATGGAAACTACAGTCGTTGGCAGGATCAGAGACGGGCTCTGGCAGGATCACTCTGATTTCGTTTTCAGCTTATGTTCAAAACAATCACGTTTAAGCCACTGAATTAGTTTAGTCCGGTTATACATACAACCGCGAACAGCACATGTTGTCCCTGAGCTCCGTAACGAAATCTCTCAAAAAGATTTGCGTCTTTTAAATAGTAAAATAATTCTCCGAAAAACAGCTAGCCTCTTCGCTAACTAACACACAAAACACCATTGGAAAGCTACTTCCGCCGCCTCACCGGAAGTTTCACCCACTTTATTTTTTACAGGAGCGCCCCTCGGAAACTTGTGGATAAACAACACAGACCACAATCTCAGTGTTCATGTTGCACATTTCTTATTCTCTGTCAGTACAATGAGTTAAATGGGTGAAAAAAACGTCCTCAATATTTTGGGGATGGCCTGCTTGGCCTGGCTCAGACACTTCAATAGGGAGGCTTTGCTAAGCACCTTTTGTTCTTTAACAGTCTTTACCTTTCTCTTCAGTGACTTTCTGATGCTCATCATCTCCCGGCGCAGACCAATCAGCACTGTCTTTGACAGTCGATAGTAATTCAAGAACTGAGACACGTTCTGCACATAATACTCAATTGTTGTTTCCTTTTTGTGGGCCTTGCGCAGGGAGAAGACCCACCTGCACACAAACAAACAAACAACAAACGCCCTCTATGAACACTCATCTTTATTATTATTATTATTATATATTTTTTAAAAACAGCTTTAATATAGGAACATAATAAGAAAATGACTTACGCATGAATCCTGCTCGTCTCGTTCAGGAAGATCAGGGTGCTCAGTCTCGTCTTACCCTCACTCATGTGTGTTAAGAATTGATTAATTCTATACATTTTGGCATTTACATCGTCAGTATGTTTAGATGATGGGTCTGGCCCTAATTGGTTGAGCCGAAACTCTTCCGTGATGTTATCTGTGCACAAAGAAAAATGACTTACTTTAAATTATACATTCTGATATCTAGTACATTTTCAAGTAAGACACAGAGCAGTGATTGGTATTAAATAGTGACTTACTTTAAATTATACATTCTAAGGCCGGGGTTGTACTGCACTGCAAAAAAAGCTTTTCTTATAAGTTTTTGCTTAAAAATCAAAATCATCTGCTAATGGAACAAGAAAAATAATTTTAATTCAAACAAAAACAATATTATTTTTTTTATTATTTCCAATTCGCTTAGTTTTGATTTATTTCCCATCTTCATTTAAGACTTTTTAGATATTTGGACTGGAAACAAGACCCAAATACTAAGTAAAAAAAAGCTTTTTCTGCAGTGTGGCAATGACATTTCAGAAAACACCCAGTTAAAACAATGCAAGTGCACTCACTCAGTGTCACCCCATGATCTGGGGGGCTCTCCGGCTCCTGTGTTAGGGGTTAACAGTTAAAGGACCCAGAACCAGATTTGAAGAATGAAGACCCGGAGTCGGAATTATAAAAATTAAAGAAAGTTTTACTGAACATAGTTTGCCATTTCATCAGCAGAAGTCAGCTTCAAGACTCACTCAGGAGTTCGTAGGCCGCCCCCTTACAGTTACTAAGATCACAGCAGTTATACTGTTTCCAAGGTCTAAGCTACGTCATTGCTTACACGTTGAATGATTCTCATTGGCTACGATATAGATAAACACAGTAATTTTCCACACATATACAGATAGACGAAACATATCTCCATCGATGAGGCACGTCATGACCTTCCAGGTCACAGATTTGGGTTGCTGGCGCCAGTGTGTCCAGAACAACTCATTCAATCTCCAATAATGGCAGTGGTTCCTTAACCTGCAACTAAGAAGACTAGCACTAAACCTTTGTCTAACTGGAGTAAGACTTCAACAAAGAAATAGTGCCTTAAACTGTTGGCTTCAATGACCCCTTTATGTTTTAACACTCAAACACAAACCAAAATCCCTATTTCTCTATTATTTTCACTGTTACCGCATTCACATAGGACACTAGCAAATGGGAGCTCCTATCAAGGCTGAAGAGAGTCTGAGCGTCTTATTATCAGTTAAGTGTACCAAAACATAATGGTAAAACATTCACTCGTTTGGGAGAAAAACATACATTTGCTCCTCAGAAAGCAAATATAATAGAAAGAATACATTTTAATACAACAATTAAAGTTCAATAAAGCAATGCTCAATAGAGCTTGACCATCGGTACAGAGAAGTATCATATGTGTTGGACATATGTGTTCACGACGCCTTTAGGATCCATAAACCTTTCTCCTGAGACCAGAGAAAGAGACAAATGGCCTTGTGCACCTAAAAGAAGCTCGTGACTTACATCAGCATGCTTTTAAGAATATTATTTCACAAGCAAAAGCACAAAGAATACATTTATGTCAATAAATGATTAAGTAACCATGAATATACTTAATTATTGATTTTATAAAAGAAATACATAATCATTCAAGAGGATATTATGAAATATATACTGAAGAGGCAAGGGATTTTGACCACCCCTTCACCTGAAATCTGGGTGGCTGCTGGCTGGTGGAGGGCTCTACATCACTGGATGGCCCGGGCACGGTGGAAGCACCAGAGTGGGTATAGAAGGGTCACCTCCAGACCCGAGAGAGGAGATGAGCCTCCTGGTTGCCTTGCTCAATCTTCCCGCACCCTTGGATGCTGACCTCTTCTTCAACAGACGGTAATGTCGCGCAGGGCAGTGGTCAGCGTGTCAACACTTTGATTTAGGTTGCTGTTCTCAAGCCGCAACTTTTCCACCCTCTCTTTGCATTCAGGGT